GATGGAGAAGCTAGATGTATGTACGCAAATCGAGCAAAATGTGAATACTTCATAGCAGCCAAGAGATACCGCATGCGAGGATCTGGAGCTGCTCCCAATACAACGACAGATATCTAAAACGAAGAAACAAAAATTCAAGGTTCATTGAGAGATATGAAAAGCTTTATGACTGCTGAATGGGAGAAAATCTACACTCAGCAGTCATAGCTAAGGAGTTCTAGTACGCCCAAATAACAAGATAACCCGCATAGTGGAACAACACCTACTTTATTGGTCGGCATCCACTGATTCACAAATCTTGACAAACCATCGTGATTGTTGATCATCAACATGAATGTTCTAGGAATGACGTCGCGAGCGAATATGCGAACATCCCTGGAATCACATGCGAAGTCTATATTTCATAATAAAAAAACGAACCAGCACTAACCGTGCATTCATCAAAAACATATCCGAACGATAATGTGTAACTCTGCCTTCCACAACAGCCACGATAGCTGGTAGACGAGATATGCGCAATTTCTCCAGCAAATTTCCGTCAGTCATTGCGTTGACTGTTCCGATACCGTAGCCTATATAAACATCATGATCAAAGACTCTCAAAACAGCATAAATCAACTTTACCTAACGGTTCAAGATCTTCTGATACCGCTTTCCATTGCGGCTGTAGGCGGAAGCACAACTGACAGTAGTTTGAATAGGCATACAGAAGGAATGGTTGAGTATGACTTCTGCAAAAAATATTGCAGTAATCACCAAGGAAGGGTAAATTTTGGTAATTAATACAAAAAATAACATGTCCATAAAAACAAAAATAACAAAAAAAAACTTAATAGCGAAAAGAACGTACTTTTCTAGGATAGAATATGTATACTGCCGCAAAGAAATCCGTTGTTTGCCAAAAATTCCATCTTCATATCCTCCAAAACCGCCAAACTAAAAAAAATCATAGTTTCCCAAAAGGGAGCTCGCTTTTATAGATCGCTTACAAAGTGCTCAAAACCAGCAAATCCATTAAACTGCGGCCCAGATTGTGGAGATTCATCAACAGCTCCAAACTTGTCAAAACGCTCGCGTCTCAGAGGATCGGAGAGTAATTCATAAGCTCGACTAATAGCTACAAATCTTTCCTGAGCTTCCGGTGAGGTATTCTTGTCGGGATGCCTATG